TGCAGAGTGCTGCTTTGTTTACCTTCCTGGATTCATTTGATTGGCTAATGTGCTGACAGGTCACACATACATACACACAGGTGCAGAGAGAGAGGGGGAGGAGTGAAATGAATGGATTAGTGCACGCATTTAAAAATGTTTTAATATTTGGGTTTGTATCAAGTCTTTTCAAGTCAAAGGGCTCAAGTCCGAGTGAAGTCACAAGTCATTGGTGTTAAAGTCCAAGTCGAGTTGCAAGTCTTTTTACATTTTTTCAAGTCGAGTCTAAAGTCATCAAATTAATGACTCGAGTCCGACTCGAGTCCAAGTCATGTGACTCGAATCCACACCTCTGGCTTCTATTCAAAACTTTTGTAAACTTCATACATTTTAAATATTCAGCTTTATTTTGAAAATCTTGCCCCATTCAAATGAATGGGAAAACTCCAACTTCAGCATACTTTCATCTAGCAAATCCATTCAGGTGTCAAAATGTTCAGCATTTTCAGGGCGATATTTCAGCACTCAGCATCTATACGCATTTTCTTCAGAAAATTCAATTTTCTAGTTAGATATTTATTTTTTAATAATAGATATAGAGAAGATATTATTACAGATTTCAATCCAGAAGGAGGGGGAGCACTAAATAATTTTCCCTTTTTGTGTGATTGTGCCATACTGGAGTGTATCTACATTGTATTAGTGTTTTTTTGATGATTTAGTTTGCATTCCACATTTATGATTATAACATTAGTTCATCTTCAGAAAAGGAAATCATTTGAGCATGTGTTAATGACTTGATAATGAGCTTTGAAAGACAAGTGTGGAGGACTGTGTGAATAGTTCTAGCCCATCAATCAGGCTGGCATTAGTTTAATGAAGCAGACGACTTATTAAGAACGAGAGAAGCTCAGCGATACACACTGCAGCACATCCATCAAACTGGTGAGACAAAGAAAAGACCTTGTTTCTATAGACCTGTGCCCATTTTGGATAATGTTTGCTTTTTCTGGTAGACACTGCTGCACAGGCACTGGTCTCCACTGCTGCAGACATAATGTTAACGCTCTACTTTGTTCCTCTGCCTCCCTGTTACAATACACACCAAGTAGCAAAAGCCAGTGGTGGAAGAAGTACTCCGATTGTTTACTGAAGTAGAGGTATCGGCGCCACAGTGTCAAAACACCAAGTAAAAGTCTTGCATTCAAAATATTACAGCTGCCAAAGTATCAGGACCAAAATATAACCTAAAATACCAAGTAAAAGTACTCATTATACAGATTGGCAATATTTATATTATTGGAATATAAATATTGATGTATTATTGTGTTCATCACATTTGATGCTGCAGCTGCCAAATGTGGAGCTAATTTTAATAACTTTATATACTTATAATTTTAAGTACTTTACATACTGCTGTGCAGCAGTAAATAAAGTAGCCTACTTGATCCTCATCAGAACCAGGTAGCTTAAATTATCTGTTGTGCTTCATTAGTAGCTCAGTGGACAAAGGACAGAAATTAGTTGTTTGACACAGAGTGAACTAGAGAAAGAGCCCAAATATAGTCTTTTCTATAATAGAATCAAATAGTTTTTGAATCAAAATCATTCAAAATCGGATTGAGATTTGATTTGAATTGTGAGTTTGCCAAAGATTCCCACCCCCAATAAATCCTGTGAAATAAAGACTGATTCTTTATTTCCCTTTTATTTAATCAGTCTCTGTAACATGTCTATTCCCTTTTTTGTGCGATCCTCCCTTGCATATACTACACTGCACAGATCTTTAGGACAGAATGCATCATACCTGCACCTGAAAAACTGGCACAAAGGCAGCAGTAAGTCTGAGCTAGAGTTTAGTTGAGTTCCAGTCTGTCACACATTTGGTTTGGTGTTTTCATTTGCAGAGTTTTGGTGCTCTATCTCCTACTTTGAAATGGACGTCCAGGTGGGTGAGATGTTCAAGGTGCCCTCCAGCTGCCCTGTAGTGACTGTGGATGGTTATGTTGACCCGTCAGGAGGCGATCGCTTCTGCCTCGGCCAGCTGAGTAACGTCCACCGTACAGATGCCAGTGAAAGAGCCAGGTGAGTGGATGAATATACTCCTCTGCTGTGTCTCTTTAATAGTTGTAATATATTTTTTACATGAAACACCTGATAAATGAAGTAGTAAAGAAGAAAACTACATAATTTATTTATTTATTTATGCATTGATAAATTCATTCACTATGACTTACTCACTATTGGCCCTCTCTTTGCCCTGGGGGTGGGCGATATGTGAAATGACTACTTACAATACACTGAGACGCGATGACATACTTGTTTCTCCAGATGGGTAACATGGCATTTCCTTATTTCTGTAGACTACAGTGTAGAATTCAAGGTTTTTAGTTTGAAACTCTCAGAATATTCATGTGTTTATACTGTATGTTTGTGATGAAACTCACATACTTACTGTTTTCAGGCCAGCATCATAAACTAACCCACAGATATACTGTAACTCTGCCCCCCCATTTTAAAACTACTTTACATTATACATTGCTGCAATCCATCAAAACCAGGTAAACCACTCATCTAATTGTTATTTCCATCCATCCATCCATTATCTTCTGCTTATCCAGGGTCGGGTCGCAGTGGCAGCAGGTTCAGTAAGGTAGTCCAGAAGTCTCTCTCCCCAGCAATGTGTTCCAGCGCATCTTGCAGGGTTCCAAGGAATTCCCATGCCAGATGGGATTTATAATCTCTCCAGCATTTTCTGGGTTTGTGCCGTGGTATCATAATACGGAGACTATAGTGGTGAAAGTCACCAATGATCTTCTCCTAGCATCAGAAAAAGGACTTGTCTCCATACTTGTCCTCTTAGATCTCAGTGCTGCTTTTGACACCATTGATCACAGCATCTTGCTGCAGAGACTTGAACATGTTATTGGGATTAAAGGAACTGCACTAAGTTAGTTCAAATCTTATTTAGATTTCAATTTGTTCATGTTAATGATGAATCTTCCACACAAACTAAAGTTAGTCACGGCGTTCCACAGGGCTCTGTGTTTGGTCCAGTTCTCTTGACTACATGCTCCCTTTAGGCAATATTATCAGGAAGCACAGCATAAATTTCCATTCCTATGCAGATGATACTCCCTAAAGCAGGCATCACAAAAACTAGGTGCTGCAATAAGTGCAATAAGTTTTTATCCTGGAAAGATAGTTTAATAACATAAAAAGACCCTCATAGTGCCAGAATTGCATATTATTCATCACTCATAGAGGAAAATAAGAACAAGGCCAGGTTTCTTTTCAGCACTGTAGCCAGGCTGACAAAGAGCCACCATGCTTAGATCTCAGTAGTAATGATGTCATGAGCTTCTTTACAAATAAATAGAGAAAAAATTAATGAGATCCTTTCAACAACTCTCATAGATGTCCTCAAGGCCAATGGCTTTAGAAACATCTGTAAGACCTCATTTATATCTCTCTGAGCTGAACAGTTGCTTCATCTACATCATCAACATGAGTATAAAGGAACTGTACTAAGTTGGTTCAAATCTTATTTAGAAATCTGCTGTCTAACCATATAGTTACTCTAGATGACATAGCTCTCGTCTCCAGTACTACTGTGAGGAACTGTGGAGTCATTTTTGACCAAGATATGTCCTTTAAATCACACATAAACCAAGTCTCTAGAACTGCCTTCTTTCACCTGCTCAATGTCGCCAAAATCAGGAGCATCCTGTCTCAAAGTGATGCTGAAAAACTGGTCCATGCATTTGTTACTTCCAGGCTGGACTACTGTAACTCTTTACTATCAGGATGTCCCAATAATTCCCTAAAAAGCCTCCAGTTAATCCAAAATGCTGCAGCCAGAGTACTGACAGGAACTAGCAAGAGAGATCATATCTCTCCCATATTAGCTTCTCTCCACTGGCTCCCTGTAAAATCCAGAATAGAATTTAAAATCCTTCTCCTAACATACAAAGCCCTTAATGACAAGGCTCCATCATATCTTAAAGACCTCATAGAGCCTTATCATCCTAACAGGGCACTTCGCTCGCAGAGTGCAGGTTTGCTTGTGGTTCTGTTAGAAATTAACCCAATTCTTTTGTTGGAAGCACGAGAAGTGACGACAGGAGAGGACTGTTTAAAATCAACAGAAAGGGAAGGGGGGGCATGATGCTCTGAGCTCCTCACTGCTCCTCTCCTCTCCCCTCCTCTCACTTTGCTGTGATTTGGCACTATACAAATAAAACTGAATTGAGAAAAGCCAAAAAGTAGAGTCACATTACCACTGCAAATGAAAAGGTTTATGCCTGTGTGGAGAGGCTGGCAGGAAAACAAAACATCCAGGAAAGGTGTCCAGAGAGCAGTGCTTTCTTTAAAACAAGCAGCATAGACTACTTGAACATGTTATGATTTGGCGCTATACAACTAAAATTGAATTGAAATTGAATTGGTCTCACAGTGTTGAAATAATCTGCCCCCTGAAGTCAGGACACCACTAGCACTATGCCACCTTTGGAAACTACATCTCCACATACTAAACTTATTCTTACATTCATTATTTAAAAAAAAATCTGGTTAATCTTTTTTACACAGTATGAAGGGAGCACAACTGATTGTTCCTGTTTGTTTGTCCTGATTTTTTTTTGTGTGTGTGTTCCAGGTTGCACATAGGTAAAGGTGTGCAACTGGAGTGTCGTGGTGAGGGCGATGTCTGGATGCGCTGTATGAGCGACCACGCTGTGTTTGTACAAAGCTACTACCTTGACAGAGAAGCAGGCCGAGCACCAGGTGATGCTGTGCACAAGATTTACCCTGGAGCCTACATCAAGGTCTAAATCCAGCTCATACACACACACACACACACACACACACACACACAGATTCTCTGTTTTTAAACTCTTCAACTATTTTATTTATTTGGGCAGCATTAACCTTGTACTGTAGGTGGCAGGGCATGCAAATCTTTAATCAAATACGCAATAAGGAACCGAAGTGTATTGAACAGTTGTCAAGTGTTATTAAAGTATCAATACCATCAGATTGCCTGTGCTGCTGTTGTAATGTAAGCTGTGTGTGTTTTGGTCAGGTGTTTGACCTGCGGCAGTGCCATAGACAGATGCAGCAGCAAGCGGCGACAGCTCAGGCTGCCGCTGGCGCCCAAGGCCTGGTCCGGGTAGTGTTGGAGGTATCGCGCCTGCAGTTAGTAAGTGTTGAGAGACATTTGGAGGAATTATTTATTTGACATTTACAATACACACTGGAAACCAGTTTGAAATGTACACTGCATGAAGCATTTAGGATAGAATTATTGTCATTCTCTCTGCTTGAGTATGAGAGACTGGTTACATGAAGAAAGTGTAGCAATGAACAAAACAATAATAATAATAACCTTCTGTAATGGTAAAGTATTGATTGGACTGTTCATTCCAGGGCACCAACTCTGTAGCTCTTTGCAGTTTCATCAGCTTTGGGTTCTCTACTCTTTATCACTACAGAAATGATCAGCTGTCAGACAGAATGGCCCTGTGATGGAGCAGTGCTGTGACAGTAAGCACCATCACATGCTGTCACATGTCATTTCAGGTCTGTCTGCAGCAGCTGGGATCGGTGTAGACGACCTAAGACGACTGTGCATCCTGCGGCTCAGCTTCGTGAAGGGCTGGGGCCCTGACTACCCCCGGCAGAGCATCAAACACACCCCTTGCTGGGTAGAGGTCCATCTACATCGAGCTCTGCAGCTTCTGGATGAGGTGTTGCACACCATGCCATTGGCAGACCCAGGGCCTGCTAACTAAAGACAGAGACCAAGTTCAAATTCCAATATGGATTCTGAATATTCACACACAGACACACATTTGGATATTTCTGCTTCAGGCCAAATATGCTATCTAATTAATAAAAAAGAAAATCAATCAGAAACACATGGAAAACAGAGGTGACCAACAACACATTATGCTTGTAACAATCAGGTACAAGCTTCTCTCAGACATATGTACACATACACACGGACACAGTGAAACCAGAAGGTCTGTATCCACACAGACATAAAGGTTCTGATGTCGTTGGGAATTTTCTAATGCTTTATGCTCTACAATCTAAAGTCAGATAAAAAGAAGTGGGGTCTCTGAAGGTAAAGATTTTGAGTTTGTGTCCTTGCTAGTGTGTGTGTCCTAAAGACATTATTATACACTGCAGAAATCCAGGGATGTTTCAGAAATGCATTCCCTTATATGCAATGTGGATTTCTTCTAATTGTGAGAGTGTTGGGCTGATTGACTCATGGAATACACACAGACCTGTAAATAATGTTCTCCAGGCGTGGACAACACTCAGACAGATAACTGCTTACCTCTGGAAAAGTACATTCAGACTGAATCCAAACAGCATTAAACCTCTCTTTATGTCTTAACAACAACAGAAGGGATGCAGAAGTATAGATTAAGGAAGCCAGTGTTTTGTCATCTCTGTGCTTGTACTGTGCTCTTCATTGTATCTTGATCTAAACTCCAACTGTTAACATCAATAGCTGGTTATCCCTCATATTACACTCAGCTCAAACTATTTTATTTTTGTACCAAAAGTCTAAAAAGTGAAAAACATTTAGCTTTAAAGTTGTGTTGTTGTTCTTTGTAATGAAGCAGTACTACTCTGTATGTAACCAAATGGTTGGTGGAAATCACCAAAGCCAGAATACCTCATAGCTACAGTGCAAAGTCACAGTTCCCTTTTCCGCCTAAGCCGCACACACTTTGTTCGTCACTGATAGGCTGAGGTCAGTTTGAGATTATAGACTGGGTAGAGGCAGTAATGGACACACGGACTGAAATTTGGTATGCTCTGCAGTTTTACAGCACAATGGACTTGTGAGAGAGAATTATAGTGACTTGTAATGCACAGAGACAGAAACCTGAGTGCATGTATTGTCAGACCAAACATCAGCCAGTGCCTTTGTGTTCTGTGGTCTGACCTGTTAGAATATCATCTCTTCCAGTCATCTCTTACAAACATGTATCTAGCAGTTTTTGTGAACTCTGGCTTGTTGTTTCCAGCAAGGTCATGTGTGTGACCATAAAAGAAAAGGAGGATTGAAAATAGCTGGAGCCTGCTCAGTTTGGGCAGGGACCTGTGTTTCAGGACAGTGAAGACATTGTCTTCTCTCAGTTTATCTGTCATCACTCTTTTTAAATTCCATACAGCACAGCTGTCACTGACCTGGATGTATGCGTTTCCTGTCAGATTACTTTGAGATCATAAAATAATTACCTGGAGCCAAAACTAACAGTGGGTCTTATCTTTCTATTAGGAGTCCTCCTGAATGCTGCTGCAGGTTCCAACCAAAGAGCTTCCTCTTACAAGAGCTCGTAAATTAGATTAGATGAATGAAAAGATAAAGTCCATTAAATATAAAGTTAATTTAAAATCAAAAATTGAATCAAATGAATGAAAAGTTCAAAAATATTTCATGTGGTGATTATTTCCTACTTTCAGTGGGCTGTCAAACTGGGTTTGAAAGATACCATACACCTAGGTGCCCTTCAAACTACAATGCTTTGTGAATTATTCTCAGACCAAAACCTTAGTGGTCTAAAGATGGGACTGACGCACATCGCTTTTAGGAGTTTCTCCTAGTCAGCAGCTACTTTTAGCCCTAGAATGTTTTGTGAACACAACCACTTGATCACTGACGTGAGTGCAGCAGGGCATATTGTTAACCTGATTAGCAGGAGACATGATCGGTACGCTGTGACTTGTTCAGTTATCCAACTACAAAAACACAACTAAATCCTGGGTTAGTATGTGTTACTAACACAAGGTAAGAAACGATGAGAAATTTTTCTGCCAGAGTAAAGCTGATGTAGTTTCAAATGCAGTTTTCCTTAACCAAAGGGGGGGTGGGGGGTTTGAGCATTGGTGTGCTTGGTATTTTCCTGCCATGAATGAATGAGGTTCTCTCATACCCTTTAAAAGCACTGCCAGAAACCTGACTTTGATTGATGACACTGATGTCATGCACGGAAATATATGGAATACAGCAGAGAAAGACTCTCCTTCTCTCTTCTTCTCCTACTAGTTATGTACGCCACTCTTAAATTGTGATGGGAAAAATCTTGACTATAGACGTAATGCACATAACGTTTCACTCAGCAGTCTGCTAATTTCACTGACCAGCTTTTGTGTATAGAAGACAGAAAGACTCTGGTCCTGTAACCAGCAGCAATTGTATAGTATAGGTTACAGCTGCATCCAGTGTGCAAAATACACGAGGGTTGTGGGAGTCTCAAGCTTTCTGAGCTCAGAGCCCCAGAAAATCTCAAAGTGGAATTTCAGGGGGGGGCTTGAAATGTGCCAATTTACTTTTTATTTTTCTTCCAACACAATTTATTTGCATGTTTAAATGTTAATAATACAAAAGTACAATAAAAATATATTGCAATCACTGTTTTTATGGTGTTGTACCAAAAGCAATCGTCCTCCAGAAACTGATTGTGCTTCACATGAGCGAGCAGCTTGTCAACGATGCATCTTTTGTTGAGATCACACCATCATAAAATGCAAAATAAGACAATGTATATTCTTGTAGTACTTTATAAAATGTGATCATTTGAGGAAATTGTAACTGAACAGTAAGTGACAGCAGCACCAAACTAATTTTACCTGCTGCCTGTAACGTGACTGATCGAGACATCTGCAGGGAATTTATTATTTATTATGGCTCATGAGCTGCTTTCATGTATTACTTTATGAGCGTAAGTGTAATTATTACTATTGTCACCCACCCCCAACACTTCCCTTTGCCCCCAGGTCAAAAGGAGACCCTTTCCAAAATGCATGATGTAATGTGTACCCTGGATGTGCACATGGAGTGTCATGACACGTGCCAGCCCTGTTTGATCATATTCATATCTAAAGCCACATACTGAGGACTAGTTTATTTCACCTGAAAATAATGTTTCTAAATTATCACCCATATTCCATAATTCTGATAATTTCACATTAAACTGTTTACAGTGAATTCTGGCAGATCAGTTATGGATTTACAATAGGACTGTTGTTTACATTTGGGTACCTGTTCTTGTGCCTCCCAGTCTAAACTCTTGTCAGGAAAATTGTGAAAAAAATGTTGTGGTCAGGTTTCAGTGCAAATCCAATTTGGGGTCAGAATGAGCACCAACATTGCACTGCATTGCCTAATCGGCATAAACATGACCTCAGCATAAGCACATTCATTCATGGCAGGAAAATACCAAACACACCAGTGCACAAAAAACAGTACACTTGTGCCCAAGGAAAACTGCAAAGACCACACTGGAAGCTCCTCTAGGTTTGTGCTGGCAGAAAAAAGACTTTACAGAGTGAGCAGACAGTTTGTACCACTGACCATATTTTACTGTCCAAGTTAGTCAAATCTTACAAATCTTAAAATGCCACTCTCTGTCTTTCCACCAACAGAATGTGTTCTAGAACAAAACATTAGCATAAAAATACCCAGAGGCACTGTCTAACTCAGACTGCAGAGTGCGTAGAGGAGGAGCGTTTACACTGAGCCATAAGTATTTCAGCATACCGACTCTATGTGTAGTGTATAAAGATATACATCCATCCATTCATTATCTGGAGCCAATCCCAGCTGACAATGGGTGAGAGGCAGGGTCCACCCTGGACAGGTCACCAGTCTATCACAGGGCTGACACATAGACAAACAACCACACACACACATTCACTTCTATGGGCAGTTTAGAGTTACCAGTTAACTCAAGCTGCATGTCTTTGGACTGTGGGAGAAACCCGGAGAGAACCCACGCAGGCACAGGGAGAACATGCAAACTCCACACAGAAAGGGTCGGCCAGGGCTCAAACCTGGAACCTTCTTTCTGTGAGGTGACAGTACTAACCACATCACTGTGCCGCCCGCAAAGAAAAACTTGAAAAATATAAACATGTGCTATAAAGTCAAACCCCAGCACATAGTGTACACCCCAAATGTACTGTATATAGCACTGTGTGTACAAGCCTTTAGTTGATTTCACAGGGAGGCATACACAGCCGAGTTCACCTGAACTGCTCCAAACAGATGGTTGTCTTAGATCCCAGTGTCCCACATAAACAGAGATCAGTTGTCCTGTCCAGACTTGACTGAATAAAAAGGTAATAAATGTGTACAGTGAATATAATTTATTGTACCAAGGCATTTGTGTGTGCAGCCAGGATTTGTGGGATGAGATGTGTAGATTGACTGTCAGGAATCTGAGAAACATTTGTTATGTCATTCAGCTGCTTTACAAAGATCCACCATTAACATATCCATATTTGTGATTTGTGCCTTTTGTTGTTAACAGTAGATGCACCACCACTGGATTGTAAGACTGACACAAGTTTGTCTTTCTACTTGTCAGTTGTGATTTGTTCAGAATCTTTTCTGATATTCTGTGGTTCCCTCAGGTATCTGCCTCACTTGTCAAACCAGTTTATAGAGCTAGAGAATACCATTAGCAAAACACGCATCTTACCTGACTATTATTATTTATTGCCTTAGTTATTTGTGAGTGTAGAATATGACAGAGTACACTTGGCACTATTCTAATCTTAGCATGGACAACACAAATCAATGTCATATTAATCTGTCCTGCCCATATTCAGGGAAATACAAGTGGACTTTCTCAGATAAATTGTCACTATTGTCTAATTTGTCATCATCATCCTCTGATGATTATCCTGATCTCTCTATCATCAAATCACTGCTTATCACATCGCCTCCATAATGTGTCCAGAAATGCGTGCAATTAGTGCCTGTAAGTTTCCACACTTTCAGCGGCATTGCATCACTGCTGTTTTTCATCTTGCAGTTTGTATTGATGAAGTCGGTACCATCCAGACTGTTAGCAGGACTGTTCCCCCTGTGTCTTACGACTCTCAGAGGGCCTTTTCAGATTTAGCCACTGAGGAGGTTTTATTTGGTAAGGCTTTATTTCTTGGGTTCCCCATTTCTTGAAACAATTGCAGATTTACCTGTTAGTAATATAAAGGGAAATAGGAAAGACTTCTTGAAACCCACACACACATTCATTATTTACAGTTTACCGGACACTTTATTGTCCATGTGGGTTGAAGTGTTTGCCTGTCACATTTGTGCATGTTCAGGTTAACTGCAGTGTACTGGCTAGAGTACAGATTACTGTCATAATGCTGTTACCAAAGGCAAGACTAACTTCAACACCTACACCCTAACAGAAGGTTTCTGACCAGGATTTTTTGGTTGAAGTCAGTGTTCTTTCAGCTGAGTATGTAATCTAAATACTAGTGATGATAACAATAACAGCTAAAGTATATTCATCACAGTGACATGACGTGTTAAAGGTGCACTCAACACATGTGCACCCTGTTTTGGATTGGTTGTAGCCTACAGCCACACATCCCCACCTTAGACCATACAATGTTGTGCTGGGGGTAGGGTGCAGAGTCAGGATTTGTTCTGCAGAGGGAACTGCTTCTCTGGCTGTCTTTGTAATGTGTTTTACTTGATTGGGAGAAAGTCCATGTTACCAAAGAATGCATCTTCCAACTGCTTTTTTCTGTAAATCAGAAAGCTGTCTGGTATTACTAGTTAAAATAATAATCCACTGCAGATTTTGTTGAGTAAAGTCTGTAGGTTCTCTGCACACAGGGCTAGATCAAGTCTTTTAATTATTCATTTATTTACAGTATTTATTAGCTTACATTGATTGAAAAAAGCAGTCAGGAGTTTGGGGAAGTTAGAGGGTCAGTCAAGATGTGTTGGAAAATGACCAATCTTATTTTACTCCTTGAAAAAACTGAAATAGAAGTACAGTTTTCAAAATAGGTTTGGGTTAAATATTCCAATGTTGAATTAATTAATTTTTATATCTCACAATATAAACTAGCAGGACAAACTGCGAAACATTTCTGGATAAAATCTGATTTCATTTATACCAAAACCACTGAAGATGCATTTATTATTCCAATCTGTCATAAATGTCACATAAACAGATAAAATATCTACATCATCCCATTCATAAAACATGATGCAGGTTGATTCTTACATGTAAACAATATTGAAAATATATAGTAAAGAACATTAGAATATTGTTTTCTATTTTATTTGTAATTATTTTATTGTAAAGATGTGCTGCTCTTGTAATGTTGACTGTATATTAAAATAAAAACAACAAATTCCATTTTAACATTTGTACAAACTTTGTTGATGAAGTATTGCTACCAAAAAATGTGTTGCCAGAGAAGGCTGTCCAACAGCCTTATTAACATGTGTGAGTCCTTCTACAGACACTGAGAACAGGGGGCAGCACATCCGCCCCACTTTTTACCACCCTCTTTTTGTGTGCAAAATGGATGTATATGTAGGCTACATATATAGCTGTTTTGCTGTCACATTGGTGGTGGTGTCCAATCTGATCAGGGATGTGTGAAGCAACATTATAATCAGTGGAATGACCTTTGAGCCTGACACTCTCTTCTCCTGGGACAGTTCCACTGTTGCCATGTAAAATGGGTTGAGCACCTGTAAACAAGCAGCTATTGTTTCATAATCCTCATAAGAGAGAAGATTCACATCTGTTTTGAGTGATGCCAGAGCTGTTCCCACTGTCTGCCTCTCATCATATAGGTGCTGCAGCATCAGGTAGGTGCTGTTCCAGCGTGTGTGCACCTCCTGGATTAGCTTCATCACTGCACAATTCATTTGCTGTTGCACAGATTTCAGCTTCTCTTTAGCGGTAATGCTTGACCTAAAATAGGTCACCACTTTCCGTGCCCTTGTGTGCAGGTCTTCTAGGCCAGTTCCTAACCACTAAATTAAGTGCATGTGCAATGCATACAACATGCCTTATGGCTAACATTTTGGCGGTGGCTGTCATGTATGCTGCAGCATCGGTCACAAGGCATTTAACCTTTCCCTCAATGCCCCACTCCACCATGAGAGACCTCTCATGGCAGATGCGATGTTTTCAGCAGTGTGGTCATGAGGGAATGGCAGTACACCTAAAACCACTGTGGCCAGCTTTGCATTGTCACGCACATAATGGCAAGTGACTGCAAGGTATGCATCCATATTAATAAAGGTCCACATATCAGATGTCAGACTCACTCCCTCCACACTCTGCAGTTGAGCCTTGGCCTTTGTCTTCTCCTCCTCATATTTGTCATCCACCATCTTCTTCAGAGCCTGTCTAGATGGCAGGGTGTATGTGGGGTCTAGCTTTCCCATGAACTCTTTGAAGCCCTGATCATCCATAATAGAAAAGGGCTGAGAGTCTTTCAACAGCATATTCACCAGGGCCTCTTCCAGCTCATGCCTCCGGTTCACTACGACAGACACAAACATGCTGTACTGTGATATCACGTTTATGAATGAGTGTGCAGATGAATGTGTATAATAAGTATGACCTACCATGATCTGTGGGTTCCTGCATGCCCTCGTGCTTGGCTTTGAAGTGCCTCAGCATTGCAGATGTATTATTACTGTATGTCAATTGCTGGGGACACAGCATATGTCAATTGCTTGGGAAACTGCAAGCACTGGACCTGTCATATGCAGACAGATTGTGGGATACATCTCTATAATGCTGCTTACTGTTGACGTCATATTCATCATGGATATTTGATGACTATTGCACTGGCTGTACTGGCAGTATTAGCCATATATGCAATGTTGCCTGGGTTACATAAAGGTGCAGTAGCATAACCACGTCGTATTAAGGCACGTACCTTCTTTGGACCGATCAGCTGAAAGCGTTCCCACACTGGAGAACGGGGTCTCTTCCTAGCTGGCTCCATGGTGATCACACACCAGCAGCAATGACCATACCAATAGAAACTACGCACACACCTACTACGCCGACAAACCCACATGTTGTGCATCATCTTGGGTCGCTTTATAGTACCCCTATAAAGTGCACGCAGCGAGATCTCGCGTCGTGACACTGTATCGACGATTTGAACTGGTCACGGGAGTCACTCAGACCAGCTGTTTCTGTGTCGGACATCATTAGTCATGTGTCTTTTCATCAACGATACAAGCCTCGAGACAGTGGTTCGTGGAAGATCCCTCTCCGAGTTCGAATCATATATCCAGGCCTCTGTGTCAGATGGCCATCACTAGTGCCTGACCTCACAAATGCACTTCTGGAAGAATGGTCAAAAACTCCCATTAACACACTCCTAAACCTTGTGGACAGCCTTCCCAGAAGAGTTGAAGCTGCTGCAAAGGGTGGGCCAAATCTTATTAAATCCTATGGTTTAAGAATCGGTTGTTACTCAAGTTCATTTGCTTGTGAAGGCTGACAAGCAAATACTTTTGGCAATATAGTGTATCTGTCCCATTATTTTTAGTCAACAAAGGATAGTACTGAATGTTAGGAGCAGTTTACTTTTCCTGACAAACACACAACAAATACTATTTAAAAGTTGTTTATTCTGCAAGTCATCTTCCAACAAACCATACACCTGCATCAATCTCATCCACTGCTGTCTGCATTCTCATGGCGCTTTTGCATTTATTATTTTTCCTGCTCCACCACAGGTTGATTCTCCAACCAATGATGAACACAGCACAAGACTGAATTGCAGAAAATTGACAGTAATTTAAGAGGTGTGGAATATTCAACTTCTACATAATGACTTTAAGCTT